TTTAAGCTTTGGCAAGATTAGTCCTCTGGCTCTTGTGCTGACTTTACCTTTGACCTTTTAACTCCCATAAGGGACCAAGACAGGATTTCTCCTTACAATATCAATACAATATTGAGCAGGCAAGTTATGAGAATAAAAAAAAAATTAATTAGGGGATTATTAAATGATACAATACCAAATTATCCAAATCATATGAATTTGATGGCAGACAGTAAGAAGTAATAGTGAGCTATTTGGAGTAAAAGGGTTAAGTGCATGAACCTAACCTTAATCTACAGATATTTTACAGAAGAACTTAAATTGAGTTGTGATGCAAATGTTGTCTAGCTGTAGGCTGAATACCTTTCACACTGAATCCAGATTGTTTCTTTATTCCCACATTCAGAGATACATTTTTTTAAAGAGCTGTAACTTATAAACTTTGATGAATTTATTTCACTTGACAGTCACTTATACATGTAGTTAGTATGTTAGTAATGGAATCACAATTGTAAGCATTTTTATTTTGTACAGCTTCCTTTTTCAACAAAGACCAAGATGGGTCGTCCTTTAAGGCAGCTCTTGTGTCCGGTTTCCCAGGAGTTGGTAAAACCACATCAGCAACACTGGTTTGTGAAGAGCTTGGTTTTACTTACACTGAAATGAATGCCAGTGACACACAGAGCAAAAAGACCTTGGAAGAACACATTTCTCAGTCACTGAACAATTAAACCATGGATGGCCTTCTGACAGGTTGTCAAATTTCTGTAAGATTTGGAATTACTTTATTGATATTATTAAAGATGCTTCATTCATTCTCCTGTCCTACTAAACTGATTTTCCACTGTAGTTTATTTATTATAATCAACTGAGTTGGTAACGTAAATTGACCACCGAAAAGAGTTTTAAAGCTGAGTATAGCACTTCATCTATACATTGCTGCCTACGCCTGGCTTATAAGTTAATATGAAATTCAATCCTTAATGATTATCAATATATGCATTACTTGTACCTGGAAAAGCTCGCCTTTCAGTTGGTACTTGAAATCATTAAAATTTACCTGACTTTTCTTTGCCAATGATGATAAGAACTGCCAGGGTTATTTAGCACGTTAGTGAGATCTTTAAAATATTGTGCTAATTGCTAAGCTAAGGAAAGTTTTGTGGTAAATTCAGGACGGTATGAGACTATATCACATGATGAGAGGCTTATACCTTTTATAGTTGATTGAACGAAAATGCCATAGGCTTTGGTACCAAGTAATGAATTGCCTTTTGTACTTTTAAAGCATTGACAACTGATCAAATAAAATATGAAAGTTCGGCGATGTAATATCAAAGTGCTTTTTACATCAATCTGTTTTTTGCTTCTTTTGCATTGTTATTATTGTTATTGTTATTGTTAATATTATCATTATTATTATTGTTATTATTATTATTATTATTCTGTTTTGAACATCAACGCCATTTCAGTAATATATTTCAACAGAGCTCACAGCTCACCCCAGTCCTTTCAAGACCTCTCGTATGGCAGTCTAGCGCCCTTCGATCAACCTAAGCAGGCGATGGTTTAACGACCATCACATCAGCAAAAATTAAATTAAATTGAAAAAATAGCATGTTTATGTCATTGTGCTATAATCCGGATTAATGAAAATGAAAAGTCAAAAAATGTAATATGAGGCCCTGTCCAAACTTGGCGTATAAATAGAGAAACAGCATAGCTACAAAATACAGTCATGGATCACGAAATAAACAAGGATACACCATTTTCTGTTTCGAGCTCGATGAGTTCATATTCAGCTTCTTCAATACTGCTGGTGTAACCAAGTGCACCGTTTTGTTACACACTTGTGGGGCAAATCACATTTTCATAGGAGTTAAGGTGAGGATAGAATAAGTTCATAGCGACCTAATGCAGTGAATGAGATAAACGGGTATTGACTAAAGATACAAATAGAAATAATTTGAGACATGAGACACTAGAATGAAAGAAATGTCCATCTTATTTACTCGTCACGAACGCAGGATCGAATCTTAGACCATTGGATTTTAAGAGTTGAAGTTCTCGCATATAGCTATAGATTTCTCGTTAATGAGCCATGACATACAGTGGATACATAAAGGATCATCCTGCATACTGCGTAGATCATCAATGTCGAAAGTTTCATGTCTTAAAGTACATAATGATAGAAAGGAAATTTCAAGCTCTTTCGTGACAGAGGAAAAAATCATTTTTAATCAACGACCGAAAAAAAAAATCCTATCCGTCGGATCAGGTTAAACGACAGATTAAATATCAATGCTGACATGTAAATAAACATACCAGACCTTGAAGTGGCTTATTTATCTTCCCATGAAGAATTCACGAAGCTGCGGCATTTCTGATTCCAGTATCAAGTGCGCCACATATCCGTGGGAACTATTATACAATTATTTATGGCCTCGCTTACTGTATCCAAACTCAGCAGACAATTC